CCTTGGGTCTGGATTGTCATAAATAGGGAGTTTTCAAAGGCAGAACTGGAGTCAGGCAATAATCTTTTATCACAAGTGTTTCTGAAGTCTGGCCTCACACTTGTCTCTTCTCTTTCTCTCCTGTGGTCTTTTATCAAGTGATTATTGCGCCTGCTGCATTTCAGACATCTTGGTGGTGTGGGGGGCAGGACAGTCAGTGTGACCAAGGACACGTCCCCAGCGGTGCCTCCAGCACTGCCCCGTCTGCTGCACTGTGGAAAACACAGCACTGCAGATAAAAGTGGAAGCTCTCCCCAAACAAGACCTTGTTTTTTAAAAAAAAAGAAACAGCCTTAAAGAACAAATAAACAGTCTCTCCTACAAGAGAGGTTTTCTGTTTCTCTCCAGAGAAAACCTAAACATTATTGTTTTATGCTTGCAAAACATGAAGTCATGATGGTAACAAAACTGAAAAACATCTCAGACATGGCAAAGGGGAGCTCAAGCCAAAGACAGGATAAGCCAGACACAGTCAGGCTCTTGCCCCTTCTGCTCCACCTACAATCTGGCATTACTAAGAGAGAAGCAATGTCCAACATGCTGGGGACTTGTTTTATTTATTGTTTTAAACCCAAGCACGGGTTAAAAAGCTTTTCATCATCTAGATCCAAGGCTGGTGGTTACAGATTACATACATACAATTCCTGCCATGCTTCACTGATGTGCAACGGGGCATTCAGCAAAATGGGGAGACAAGAACACTTCAACTCAGGATTTACAAACTGGGAGGAAGGGCTCACCAACAGCACACCAATATCCACAGAAAACTAAAACAGGCTGTAGCCATCGACCCAGCCAGCAGGCCAGGGAATGCAGTGGCTGGTAGCAGGATGAGACAAAGGAAAGAGACCTCAAGGGGAGGGTCAGTAAGTAGAAGAGAAACAAGACTTGGTTTTGCAATTGACACAGTGATCAACTTTTCCAGGTTACTCGTTGTTTTTGGACCAAGCTGACTTGCAGAAGTTAAACTGGGGACTGGAAGCAATGCTCTGTCACAGGGTTCATGGCACACCATCCAGGGCAAGCTCCAACACAGCTCCTGAGTCAGGAGCACACAGCAGCAAACACTGCCACAGTGCACATTGTGTGCATTTCCTCCTCCACTCACTCTCAGAGCTAGAAAAACTCCAAAAACAGGGTTAGGAACATCACGGCCTGCAGGCTGGGTTTTTACAGGAACAAGATGACTACAGCAACAAAGCAAGGAGGACATGACTAATAAAATATTTAAGAGGGCAAAGAGATCGTACCACACCCACCTGCCAAGCCCAGAGGTTATTGCTTTGACAAAGACCAAGCAGCCAGCACAGAGCTGAGACTCACCAGCATTTGGCAAGCTGTCCAGCCCATGGGACATGGCAGCAGAAACCCACTGAGGAACCTTCTCACTGCGGCTGGAGAGCCCACTACATGCATTGCATGTTTTCATCTCCTTCTCTGCTTCCACACCTTCTCAAACCCACCCCACCCTAACTGCCTCAAGCAGATGCACCCACTCTATTTCCAAATTACCTGAAAACACCAGCCATCCTAGGAAAAGGAGGAATCTTCTACTTAAATACATATTGAGAAGCCACAAAGTAGTATTGCAAACACACATGGACTTGGGCTGCTTGTTCAATGCAATCTGTCTGCAGTCTGTAGAGTCTGTAGTCAACTTCAGGAGCCTGACCCTGAGCCCAGAGCTGACAGAAACCCTTCGCTGAACCCACGAGCTGTCCCATTCCTGCAGTGCACCACAGCCTCTCCCCGTATCATGCCAGAGTGACCAGAAACACTCAGATCATGTCTGAGAAAGAGAAAAGTTGTCTTCAGAAGAACACTGTTTCTGTTTCAGAAAAATATGGATAAATGAGGAAATAATTGATAGGATGATGGGGATGATCACATCAAAGGCTGATAGAATATGTTTTCGTAGAGGGGTAGCACTGGTATTTCACCTACACACATCATCACCTCCCTGTCCCTTTACAGTGCTCTGTGCAGGAATATCTTCAGCATCTGCTCAGAAGCAGGAACAATACAGCCCAGTGCAGCTGCTGCTACTTTCCAGTTTAAAAAGTCCCAAAAAAGCTGAGCAAAAGAAGTCCAAAACTTCCAAATCTAGCACCAGTTTTCCAGCAATTCACTGCAGAGTCCCATTCACATCATCACGACTGGGCCAGGCTGTGCTGGTGCTTGTTCTGCAGTGAGACCAGAGGCAGTGGGAGACCCCAACCTGAAATTCCCAGGGCACCAAAGGCAGTGGGGAGCCCTGCCTGCTCCCTGGGCATCTGGGTGGCTGTGCTGCTCCCAGAACAGCAGAGGCACACACAGTGCTGGCCAGCGTTAGGCTGTGCATCTGTCCAGCAGGGCTGAAAGCCTTTGCTTTTCCTACCCCACAGGAGTGGTGCAAGGATTAGTTCATGTATATTCAGCACCATTTTTCAAAGCACTGCACAAGAGCCAAACCCTTCCGTTTTTTTTTCATCTGTTCCTTGCTCTGTCACTCCCTCCTGACGGGATGTGTTTCTCCCCTCCTGAGAAACAAACAAGCACGAGGTCAGCAAGAGTGGGAGGTGGGAAGCACATTCCAGGCTGGTCCTCTTCTCTCAAACCACAAATGGCACCAAACCCTGCCATCCTCCCAGGGCTCAGCATCCTGGTCCCGTGCTGCAGCCCAGGGAGGAGCTGGACAGGGCACACAGCAGGGTGTTTCACCTCATTCCATTTCCTCTTTGGGTTCAAGAAGCAAAACACGAGGGTGGAGTGGCCAGAGCTGTGCAGCCTGTCCGTGCACCCACAGCAAGGCAGGGGGGCTCTGCACAAACCCCACTTTGAAGCTCCCCTTTTCAGACAAAATGCTGAGCAGCTGCTGCAGCCAAAGTCAACGCCGAGGATGTGGAGCTGATGCATCCCAACCCCCAGGGAACATGCCAAAGCCTTGGCACTCAGCCTTGGCATGAGGGGATGGTTCACATCCAAGTGCACGACAGCAGAGCTCGTGTTTGGTGCAAGTGCAGGCAAATCCCATGCGGGGCATTTCCTCCTGTGCACAGACTTGTTGAGCCAGAGCAAAAGGGCAATCCTGGGAGCAGAGCTCAGGTATAGGCAGCAGCCAGGTGAGGATGTGGACAAATCACTGCAGGGTGCTCTGAGGCGCATGGCTGGTCACAGTGCTGCTTACAAAACCCAAGAGAATCGGACAGGATTAAAGAAAAGGTATTAAAAACACGAACAAGTCTAATCAGAGAGTGGCTTCCCTTGGCTCCAAAGCCCGACACCTGGACAGCCATGCAGATAACATCCACTACTCCATCTGAGCGCAGTGAAATCAGTGTTAGCATGAACATAAAATCCCCAGATGTTGCAAAAGCAAATTAAGATGAGTCACACATAAAATAAATTTTAAAAGGGCTGTTTTCAACACATTGCTTTGATAAGCTTAGGATGCTGTTAGGAAAATAACCTCAGTCTCAATAGAAGCATACATGCAAGAACAGCCCATACCCCAAAATTTTCTGGGGTTTTATATATCAATTTTACTGAAGTGGGAGACAAAACTCCTACTGTTTAATTTAGAGGAAAGTTCTTCAGTGAGATTGACATCAGTGAGTCTGAAAAAGGCTTTGAAATCAGATAAGGGAATCATTAATTTTTATCATGACAAATTTTGCGTCACTTCCCACAGATGCTGACACTACATAGAGTATCTTTTACAGTAAGGACCATCAGCTGCACTGCCACTGCACACAAGCCAAATTACAGCTCCAGTTCTCCCCCAGGACTTCTGTCAGGAACTCTATGCATCACATGGCCACTAGAGTTTAAGCCAATGGAGTTCTAGTCCCTGACTTGTGAAAGTGACATTAAGGCAATGACAGAAAAGGAAGCATAGAAAAAGCAATGTAGCTGTGATTTTCCACTAGGTTTGAGTGCTGACTTTGCCTCCTTGATGTTGCTGTGTAAGAACTGCATCACAGGCACCAGCACTGCCTAGGAAAGATGTTTGCTTCTCCACCTAGAAATGGGTTTCAGCAGAACCACCCTCCCTGTGCACCACTAGGCAGATCTTCACCTATTAAGTTGCCTATAGCAACTAAAAGGTTATGAATGCGCTCAAATAAAGCAGAAATCCACAGGGAGATGTTCCAAAAATGCTTTAAACATTCCGCTTGGCATGAAACAAAATTCCCAGAGTTTTTGTCCTTACTAGTCATGAACAGGAAGACTTACTCCAGGTAGCTGGCCTGACAGAGCACAAGCCTTGAATGAATAAGAAAAATACCATTATCATGGTGTGGGTTGGTGGAAGGGGGTTGGATTTTTTCCCTCTGTGTTTTTTTTCTTCTTTTTGGCAAGGAAGTTCAAAGAGTAACACCATTTTTCTGAGGGAAGGCACCAGTTATAAGGCAGAAATTATTGGGATCAGAGGATGATACTCAGGATGTCAGTGGCTGCTAAACACTGACTGCACACCATTACTCTGCAGAAATACTGAAAAGTATTTCCCATCACATCAGGACCTGGAACACAGGTTACGCACCTTCCAGCTTCACCTACAGTCCCAGCTCCTGAGACATGGAATCAGTTCAGGTTATCTGAAAGGGAAACACCTCTGCCAGAGGGCATTGAGGGGTTACTGAGGGGGTTCTGGGTTGCAAACTGAAAGCAGACAATTTTCACAACTATACTGTATTACATTAAAACAAAACCATCCTTTCCCAAAAGCAAATAGAAAAACCACCCAAAACAAGACAGGAAAAGCACAGGAACCAAAACTGGAGAGAATCTACGTTGCCATCCAGGATTCTCTGTCTGGGGAACTGGCCATGAACACTGACGGCACACACCAGAGAGAACGTTATGGGGGACCACACCTGGGGTGCTCGGGAGAGCTGGCAGAGGGGGCACACCTGGGATGCTCAGGAGTGTGGAAGCGCGGGTTACCCTTTGGAGAGGGCGGTCCGGGCGGTGCCTACCTGGATGTACGCACGCTGCAGGTAGCTGTAGGGCACCCTGCGCTGGAAGTCGGCGCGCACCTCCTCGGCGGCGCGGTGCCGGGACACGGCGCCCAGGCGCGGCTCCTCGCAGCGCCGCACGCACTCTGCGCGCCGCAGCACCGAGCCGAAGAACCGCAGGTCCCCTCCGGCGCCCGGGCCCGGCTCCTCCAGCCGCACCTGCGCTCGGCACAGCCGCCGGCACCGCAGCCGCGCCGCCCGCAGCTCCCGCCGGCTGCGCAGCGCCCGCTCCAGGCACCGCGCCGCGCCCGCGAAGTCGCCGCCGTAGTACGCCTCCACCCCGCTGGCGTAGAGCGCATCGAAGGGCTCCAGCGGGCCGCCCTCCGCCGCGCACCCGCCGCCCGCCGCCGGCAGCAGCAGCAGCGGCAGCAGCAGCGGCAGCAGCCGGGGCCCCCCGCGCCGGCTGCCGGGGGCCATGCCCGCCGCGCCGGGGGCAGCGCGGGGCGATGCGGCTCGGGATGCGGGAGGGTCCGGGATACGCGGTCCGCCCGGCGGGCTCGCTGCAGTGCGGTCCGTGCAGCGGATCCCGGCGTGCTGGGATGCGGGTCCGCGCCGTGCAGTCCGCCGGGCGGGCTCCGAGCGATGGACGTCGGTGTAATGGGACGCGGGTCCGTCAGCGGGAGCGCGGCTCGGTGCGGCGGGGCCGCGGCTCCATGCACGCCCGGCCTGTGCCGCCTCCCGCGCCGCCGGCACCTCTTAAAGGGCCCCGCGCCGCCGGCCCGGCCCGCCCCGCCCGGCCCCGGCCCGGCCCCGTTCCCCCCGCAGCGAGCCGGGGGCGCGCAGGGGGCGCGGCGGCCGCCAGGGCTGCTCCGAGCATCCCCGGCCCCGCGGCCGCAGGGGCTGGGGAGTGACGTCGGGAAATGTGAATCGTCCCGCGGTGATGTCAGAGGCAGCGGCGGCAGCAGACTTCGCTCACGCTTCTCCCTCCGCGCTCCGCACCTCCTCCCGCCGCCCCGCATCCCCGCGCTGGCGGCATCATTCAAAGGATGCTTGGTGTTGTCTCCCTGCCAGGCTGCTGCTTGGAGCCGTTTTTCGCTGGGTTCTCCACCCCGCTCGCCTTTTCTTACCCCGGCACCCTCCTGCCTTCGGGAATTTTGCAAATAAATAATCTGGGATGGGCACAGTGAGTGGCTGGCGAAGCTTTTTCAGCTCCCAGCTGTGTGTTTGTCTCGATTCCTCCAAGATTTCTTTCTTCCAATGCTGCAATGCCCTGCCCTGCCAAAAATGTTACTTTTTTTTTTTCTTTGCATGAATTTTAATGCTTTCTTGTGACGAGACGCTTGGCAATGCAGACTGGTGACACACGAAAAAAATATCTTAGTTGGCATTTTAAATAATCTCAGCGTTGAACACCTGTCACCAAGAAGTATTTCATATTAACACAGTTAATTTGGCTGAAATCAGCTGTTCCTGACTGAGGGGGAGTGACCAAACCCTGGATTTGGCTAGGTGCTTTACTGTAAGATGTGCTGGGCTCTGCTGCTCCAAAGGCTGTGTGTACAGCACTGTTCTCAGTAGGGTTTTTCACAAAGCTTTGTGGCCTTATTTCTTTCAGACATTTCAGGAATATCTCCACAGATATTGCCTATCTTCTCATAGACTAAAAGAGCTGGAAATGGGAGATGCTTGAATTCCACTTGGTCCAGACTCTGTTACTGCAATAAGCCAGATGTTCCTCACGGTCATGCTGTGCATCCCCTCTGCTGCTCCAGTGACTTTGATCAAATCATGCATTGTTTATACTGCTGTGTCCTGGATCAGAAACAGGGCTAAACAGCCTCTCATCAGGCAAATGATCAGATTATGGAGTCAGTTTACCATGGTTTCACATAAAGGAAGTTTTTTTCCACATGACTAGAGATTACTAGAGGTCTTGGTGAAGATCTTTCCCATCTGGCAACGATTTCATAACAATTGTCCTTGTTGCTTTCTTGCAAATTGGCACAAAGTGTTTTAAAGGTTTGGGTGTCCCTCCACCCTTCTGCCTGCCAGGCTGGCATGCTGGGGAGGGTATCACAACAGGAGAACCCAACCCTGAAGGGGTATCTGCAGTGGGAGGGGTACATGCTGTAACCATTTGCCTGTGCAAAACAAAGGTCTCAGGTCCAGATAAAGCCTTTTGCAAAGAAAAGTTTATCAGCACTCCTCTGGGAGCAGAGGTGACATTATGAGAGGGCTGCTTAAACCTTCTCAAGAGCTCCAGAGGTGCCACTGGTGACTGCAGAAGTTTAGAGCTGGGGAGAGCTCTGCCCCAAATCACAAGGATAGAATGCTTGGGAATGTTCTGGGTGAATGTTCTGAATGGTACATCTCAGCTGATCTGTTTGCAGAAGTGCTGTACCCAATTCCATGTTGCTTCCAAGTCAGCAACATATCTGCACTTGCAGTGGTAACTGAGGCCCTGCATAGGAAGGAATGCAGAAAGTACACGAGTGACTGGAGAGAGAAAGAAGTCAAACAAAATGTTTTATTTCACACTGCTGCATGTTCTGGTCCAGATCTTTATTTTCATTAGAAGTCCTTTTTAAAACAGTGAAGAAAAAGTTATTTGTTCTGACCCATTCTGCTGCCCTTCTAGCAGGGTTTTCCCTGTAGGCACCCACTCACTTTAGGGCCAGACACCAGACTGCCATCACCCCACTTGGCAGCCTCCCTGCCTGGAGTCACACTGTCTTTGTTCACAGACATTTGGCTTTCCCTCACTGTGGTGGTCTGTTGTTAGCTAATTGCAGCAAAGAGCTCAACAAGAGTTGGCACACACGAGGCTCTCAATCCAGTGTATCTCTCTGACATTCAGGGCAGTTGCTCGAACAACCACTTCCAGTTTTATGAGCCTGCTCACTGCCAGAGCAGCAAGCAGAAGATGGAAAGAAGTTTGCTGGTCCCTTTATTGTGAGTCCTGCTCTTGCAGAAGATCTGCATCATAACATCCAGCAGTGCTGCTGCTACAGCCATCAGCATCACAGGCAAGGTAGGCTCTCCTCCATGGAGCTGGAAAGGAACTGGCTTTGCTTCCAAAACAAATATAGAGGGTTTCACCCAGCACAGCAATTACTGGTTTAGGATGTTACAACTCTGAATCAGGCCCCAAGATGCATGAGATATCCTTCATGCCTTTAATGAAAGGAATAATTCTAAAAATGTAACAACTCAGCCCATGTTCAGATGTTGATCCTGGCCCCTGTGCAGTTGTTTTGAAAAACCTTTTCCTACGTTAATTGGTTCATCTGAAGCTTTTTTTTCCTCGCTTGAAAATTCTGATATATGAGTCAAACCACTGATGATTTGGCAAGAAGATAAGAGCAAAACTTAAAATGCCTTTCAAAATGGTTTTCCAATGTGCACTGTACAAGCAGACCTAGGTTTCAAGCCCTCTCTGTTTCATTTGTAGACTTGCTTTCATATTTAATATGGACAAACTTTATAATTCCAAATCAAACACAGGTGACCCCTTCAGCCATGTGCCTTAGTGAGATAGAGAGCTTTGAATCAGATGGAAAAGTACAACATACCTTTATTAAAGGGCGTTGGATTTTGCCTCATGTACAAAAGTGCAAGTTAATTGAATATATCACATCCATTAGTTAAGTACTTCATGATTTAGACCTGAATCCATACCAGAATTCCATAGAATGCCTCCATCTACCCAACACCTGTTTTATTCAAGAAGGTATGAGAGTGGTTGTGAATGTCAGTAAATGTCAGGAAATTAATATCAAATGAAAAGATGCAATATTAATCATGCACCATATTTTGAGACTCTCCTTCTATGAAAAATCCATCATCAGAGTTGTATAAAACTAGTCTGGGTTTGGGCAGAGTAAAAGGATGAGTGACCAAGGAGGAATTATCTCTGTAAATTTTAAATCTTGGTATAGCAAGATGTAGCACATTGCAACAGTGTAGAACATGGATGAGAGAACACAAGGTGCCTGCTGGGGATGCCTCTGCATCTGCTCCAGGGTTTGCCTGTTGTTTCTTTGCTGGTGGCTCACAAATCTGCCTCCCCACAGCTGTCCCCTGTATGTTTGGGCCTGTCCCTGGTGCATTGCTCTGCATGGGTTGCTGATAACCTGAGGTCAGCACAGGTGAACAGGTCTTTAATTTTTATTCCAAAGCATTTCAACTTTTACTTTCTTCTAGCAATATTTCTGTTGGCTCAGGACCTGGGAGCAGCTATCACTTTCTCCCAGACATCTGACCTGTGATCAAATGCCAGCGTTGTTATTTCATGAACTACTACCTCAAGAACCTGGAATGTCCTCTGTCCTAGCAGCCCTCTATCCTGACATTTCTCCAATGCATGGCCACCTCATATCTTGCTGATGACAGCCTTGTTTTCCTTAATGACTTCCTCTTGACATTACCTCTGCAGAAGCACAAAAGGATTGCCAGCAAAGCTTTGCTTGCAGTGTTGCTGTAAGTGCCTGACCTGCTCTTGTATCCTCACACAGACTGTCAAGGTCATCTCATAACTTCCTTTGCAGCATCCAGCAAAGTTGCCTTGGCACAGGCTTGTCCACTTCTCTCTCTGCTGCACACCATTATGAATACCAGCCTTGACAGCTCGTTCTTTTCTTTGTCCTTGTCTGTCCTGTCTCTCTGCTGCATTTTATGGGATTTACTGTACCTCTGTCTGTTTGGGACAGGGTTTTGTGTTCTAGAATTTGCCATTGCTTCTCCAGTGCAGCACAAACCAAAACTAACTCCCCAAAGCCATCTCTGCAATCACCCCTCCATTGTGCCTCCTGAAGCTTTGGACATGTGTGCTTTAGTTTGCACGCGCTATGTGATACACAGAAACCCCTGTGCTGCATCTGCTATAAAAACCTTAATACAAGAGCACAGACAGATGCAACATAAGGCTTGCTGTTGGCACTCGGCAGAGAAATACAATCCTATAAATCACATAAGCAGAGGATCCTTGTGTCTTCCCATGTGTAGTCAATGGTATGAGCCTTATTGAATTCCAAGTGCCTTCACACTTTTCTTACTTGGAAACTTGAACTTGACTGCTGTTGTAAATTAAAAAACGATAAAAACAAGTTCAAGAAGTTTAAAATACAGAACCAAAGGCACATTGGTGTCTTGAAGGAGTTGGCTCCATGCCTGTCACATTCGACCTCGGATTTAAAATACTTCTACGGCCTATCTTATTTGGGATGACAACAATTAATAACACCAAAGAATTATTCCATTGTGCTCTACATACCCTTTTCCTCCACTGACAGACAAAAATTTTTACATAACTAGAGTTGCTGTTATGAACAGGAAGGCACCTATAAATGATATAAACTGGGAAAATTGAATCGGAGACTCATATGACACAGTTATTTTCAATGCATAGTCCGGAGTTAATGAGACGTGTGAATGGCTCCATTGTGCAACTGTCTGAACTTTAGCTGGGAGCTGTGGCA